AAATGTGAAAAACTCATCTTAAATCTAGTGTGTTTATTCTTTGTCTCACACTTACACAGAAAGAATAACTAATGACAGGCTTATTGGTCCAGAAGAATCATTAATAGAGGGAGAATCATCTGCTAACATCAGCTCTGAGGGAACTGGCAGCATCACCTCTGTGCAGTGGATGAAAGATAACAGTCCTCTGTCTCCTAGCAACAGCATCATCTTCTCATCTGATAACAGATCAGTGTCCATCAGTCCAGTGCAGAGATCAGACAGTGGAGAATATCAATGTACATATAGAAACCCTATCAGCTCTGAGACGGCCAAACTCAGCCTGATCATCAACTGTGAGTGTTAAACATTCAAACATCAAGATGATTTGAGCTCAAACCTGATGAAATACAGACATTCTTCAGTGCTCAGTTTATCAGTGAGTCTTTTGTTTGTGTTCTAGATGGACCAGAAGATGTTTCTATTAAGGGTGAGGATGTGGTGGATTTAGGGGTTCGCGTGTCGCTCTCTTGCTCTGCAAATTCTGAACCTGCTGCCTCGTTCAGCTGGAAGATTAATGGAACAGACACCAATGTGACCACAGACACATTCATCATAGATGAGACTGACTTCACACACAGTGGAGATTACATCTGTACAGCCTGGAATAATGTCACAAAGAGAAGCGCCTCACAAAAACATGCTTTACTAGTTAAAGGTAAGAATAGTTCAAACTAATCTGAAATTAGCTTAATTTACCATTTATTTAAAGGAACTTTACATTTACAAATATTTAGTACACTATTTTGTAAGTTTTTCTGCTGTTTTGTTTTGTCGTATTACTTTCAATAAAATGTTGAATCACTCTGGATAAAAGTAAATTTATTGCCTTTTGCAGCATTTTGAATAAAATACGCTTAGATAATTAGACATGAAATACATTCCCATGGGAGCTCAATACGTTCATATACCTTTTTAAACCATGTGGTTTTAAATGTATTTATTTTTTAATAAAAATTGAGGCTGAAGTGCATTACTATTAGTATTGTGTGCCGTACATGACCTTGATTTGTTGTTTTTATTCTTTGTCATAGTAGGAGGAGGGCTGTCATCAGGGGCTATAGCTGGGATTGTCATTGGGGTTTTAATGGCAGTTTCAGGCATTTGTGGCCTGATTGTCTATTTAACAAAATCTAAGAAAATGTGAGTAATTTAGCACCTATCTGTGTAATTTGTAATCACAGCTCTCACATTTTACACATAAATATGTGAGTGTATGAGTCACAAATTTTATCAGGTTCAAACAGATCTTTAATAATCCATCAGGGTCTTTAATGATCCACTAGTGAAGTGCAGAAATATAAAAATCACATTTATATATGACATTATTACATATCAAACTCTAAATTGTTTCCAATGGCAGTGAAATTTCCTCCAAATGTGTTTGTGAAATTTTACACACATAGAATCAAAATGACCATGATCTCAGTAGACTGTTATATAAACAACTGTTATAAGTTGCTGCTT